GGGTGCCTCTTCATTCTCTGCCTCTGGCTTCATAAATTCCTAACTTCGTGCTCAGCGAAGTCCAGGCACATCTTTGGAAGGATGTCTGTAGATTGGGATCAAGAGGCCGAGCCATCAGGGCTTCAAACAAGCTCATATTCTGAGACGTACAGATTGTTGAGGGAACATTGTTTCTATTTTCACATTCCTTTTAAGGCGGCTGGGAGAACAGCCTTTGCTCAGAAGGAGGGGCATGGCAAAGGTGGCAGTAGCAACAGCTAGCAGCATGTCATGCTCCATGCTTTCTCAATTTCCTGAAGGCTGGAAAGACTGGCCCCTAAGAGAGGAGAAAATCTAAGCCAGTGGGGTTTTAAAAACTTATAAAATACTTGGAGAGAATTTTAATCCCATCTCTTTAGTCTCCAGACTAGATATTGCTGAACAAACCACAGATCACTGGTCAAGTCAGGGGGGAAAGCAGGATGAGGATCCAAGTCTCTTGGCAGCTGAGCTCAGGCTTACACCTCAGCAACAGTCTATCATTTTGTCATCTCCATCCCCATGACCAACATCATCTTAATTTACGAACACCGTCATGGTCCAGAACTTCCTCTGGGTCTGTGACCTGCTTTGAACAAATTGCCAAAAAAGAATCTTGGTCATTTGGGCTTCTCTCACATCTCTCCTGTGTCTCAGAAGGAATGTGTGGAAAAATCAGTTGAATATCAGGCCAGTTTTATCATATGTAAAATCATAATAAAAAGTTCTTCTGAATTGTTGTGAGGAGTAAGTCATACATAAAGTTATGTATGTGTGTCCTATATAAAATGCCCTGCATAAAGTCTGACATATAATAAAATTCAAGAAAATCTGTATTCCTGGTGCAACATCTTCTTCCACCCTCTTTATTGAAAAATGTACTTCCTCTCTAGATTAATCTCTAGTCTCTATGTGTAATTTTTTTTACATTTACTCTAAACTCATTCTTCTCTCATTGATTGAAATATCCTCAGCCCTTTCCAAAGAATCCTTGGCTCTAGACTGGCAAACGACTCGTGGTGCTAAAATCTCTTCAAGGGTTCGTCTAAGGATTTCCCAATTTCCCATCCTCCCACCTAAGCTGACTGTGAAGCTAGTAAAAGTGGAAGTGTGTCTCAGCTCTCTACTGACCTTGAATGGAGGTGACAGAGATTTTTTCTTCTCCTCCAGAAATAGATAAGACAGAGTGCATCCACTGTGGAAAACAGTATGGATGTTCCTCAAAAAATTAAAAACGGAACTCCCATTTGACCCAGTGATCCCACTTCTAGGAATATATCCTAAGAAACCTGAAACATTCATCAGAAAGAATATATGCACCCCTATGTTCATAGCAGCACAATTTATAATAGCTAAGATTTTGAAACAGCCTAAGTGCCCATCAGCAGATGAGTGGATAAAAAACTGGTACATTAACACAATGGAATACTATGTGACTATGAAAAAGAAAGAACTCTTACCATTTGCAACAGCTTGGATGGATCTGGAGAGTATTATGCTGAGCGAAGTAAGCCAGTCAGAGAAAGATAAATATCACATGATCTCACTCATATGTGAAATCTAATGAACAAAATAAACTGATGAAATAATAGATCCAGAGACATAAAAATCATTGAACAGACTGTCAAACCTCAGAGGGAAAGCAGAGGAGGGTGGGTGGGAAGAGATCAACCAATGAACTTGTATGCATGTATGCATAACCCATGGGCACAGACAATGGGGTGGGGAGGGCCTGAAGTGGGAGATGGGGGATGGGGGCGTGATGGAAGAGAGCAATGCAGGGGCGGGGAGGGGGACAGGGAGAGGACTTATGTAATACTTTCAACAATAAAGATTTTTTTAAAACACAGAAAGAAGATTCTAGAGCATCTACGCATGTATTGAGCAGATATAATTTACTTATTAATAGGACACCTGAAAATTAGCAGTTAACACATTTGGACCTGATTTTCCAGTTATAAAAATCATTTTTTTTCCTAAAAGCTTGAATATAATTTCCATGAGATGAGGCAAAAACTTTGCCACCTAGGTACCAATTCTATCCTCTATATTCTCAATCTTCTTGAAAAAATATTAATTTTAACATAGTATATATATTGAAATACAGTAATATTTAATGTTGTTAGAAGACAATATTACTTAGAATATTGCTTTTTACTTTTAAAATATAAGAGGCATTTTATCAAACATATGACAATTGTTTTTCTCTATTGATTTCACCCTCTAATTTGAATGCTATGACGAACAAAACTGTTGAATATAAGCACAAAAATGGAAGTGTAGAGAATTATTATCATTCTATCTATAAATTTTAAATCATTTAAAATGCTCCTGTTAACAAAGATTTTTCATTAATTCCTTCTGCTTAATATTGGCACACTCTGATATTAGTCCACTATTCATATAATTTGTAGTACTTGTCTGGATGTGAGTTCATTTTTATTAAGGTGTTAGTTATTACAATCCAATGCTTACATTTACATAGCATCAAATGTTTAGTGTGAGTGGTGACCACTTATCTGATTTAGAAGACATGTAAGGAATTTTAGGAAGCCTCAATTAACTTGCTTTCCAAACCTTTGTAATATAATCATTGAATTTTCCAAACACAAAAACATTGACAGGCCGCTGTGGTTCTTTATTCTGTCATAAATTTGGGGAGAAGACAGACAACTGTCTTTGCAATTAAATTTGACTAAGCTATCTGTTTCAAAAATTTGCCATAATTAGGAGAGTCAAGTAAATCTTACATATTTTTTTTCTAAACCAAATACTGTTAGCACTGTTATAAATTTCTGTTGTTAATGTCTGTTAAAAAGTAGCTGCATACAAAAGGACTTCTTAAAACGGGCCTGATAACAATGTACATCTGTTTCTTATCTTCGCCAGGTCATTGTCCACTTCCCCTAACTGAAACGACACTGTTCCTTTTTGTACACTTTGTTTTTTCCTTTTTCCTCTGAGAGTCCCCTATACCTATTATTCTAAATTTTTACAAACTTTTAGAAATCAATAGGGCTTCATTAAATTTGAGAGAATTTATAATGAAGTTAATTTCTCTCTATAAGTAGGTAAAAATGCCTTTTCTCTTCCTTAACATTGTTTATTCCACCAGGGATCATTCTTTTTTTTTTCTTTTTTACGTTAAGTTTTAATGGGTCACTCTATTTGTAACTTGGTTGACCGTAAGAAACAATACTGGCCTTGGAATTAGGCCACCTAGATTTTTGCCTTACCCTTTTTTTTTCAAATGCAGGTACAGTAATGGTATTTGTTCCCCCCTACATAGTTTTCAAATGCCTTAAATTCACAAACATAAAATCCACTTGCATTGTGTTGTACTATTTATATTTAAAAGCAAGAGTATCAACAGCCAAGGGGGCCAGAATTATGTCCCTATGTAAGGGAAATTAGAGCAGGTTAGATCATTCTTATATCACTAAGTAGAAAGACATTAATAAATTATAGTTTTAATTCTTCACAACTCTGCTCACTATCCACAGCACAGAAGAGCATCTCTTACCCACATATCTTCACGGGAGGCAATAGATCATTCTGTTGACATGAAGTGGTTTCTCCCTTCGTGTGTCATATTGAATGGGAAATTCTGGAAACGTGCACATATGATAAAGTCACACATCTGATTATTCTACATTTTTCTATGTGTGCAGTGAACAAATGGGAAGCCAATGTCTAGTTGATGGCTAAGAAATCTACCTGGGCTGATGTCGCTGCTGTAGACATGAGAAGCCATACAGAAACCAGGAGAACAAAAACACATAAAAAATGCAGACATAGACATACATACAAACAATTCCCTCAATAAAAAATGCAACACAAATAATTCTGCTGCCAAAATTTCCATTTGATTATTCACACAGCTGTAACTGTACAAGCTAGAAATTGAATCCTGTTCTTCATACTCCAAGCTCATTGTGTTTTTCATACATGAAACTTTCACGGAAACAAACTGAGGTGTCCCTGGTCCTAGCACAGGCAATTTGCTAGCTAAATCTGTGGTCTCCTCAACAATTGCATTTGAAGATAATCAATGGCCTACAGTGTAGGCCATGATCTACTTATGTCCAGAGTCACCTTGAGATATTTTGATGCAGTTATAGGTAAAAGTATTTATGAGACCCTGAAAATCCAAATTGGTGTAATAATAGGCTGGTATAATAACATCTTTTGTTCCCTTATTAACTAATCTTGCTTCCCTAAGGTAATAATAGTTCTGTAGAGCATTAACAATCAATGGAAGAGAACAGATTATAAGAATCCCTGTAGGCAACACACCACATAAAAACAATACTGGCCTTGGAGTTAGGAGCTCTGAGTCTGAATCGTAACTCAGGGCAGCCCCATTTCCCAACCTGTTTAATACTAGGGATAAACAAAACCAGAGACTCTCTAAGGCCATTACAACTATAATCCTATCTAATAATAGACAAACATGGTAATTGACCATACCTTCGCTACGCCTCCCACTGGCTAATCAGCGCAATATGCAAATTAACCACCAACAAAGATGGCGGCTAATTTGCATACTGCAGGCAAGGCTGGACACCGCCATCCTGCCTGCCCCTCCGCCACCTGGGCCTGCTTTTTTCAACCCGGGGTGGTGGGGCGGGACAGTGTCATCCGCCTGTCCTGCCGCCATCCGGGCCTACTATCTGCGACCCAGGGCAGCGGGCGTCCGTGTGCGACCCAACCCAGGGCAGCCAGGAGGAGCAGCAGCGATCCACTGGTGCAGGCAAGGCTGGACACCGCCATCCTGCCTGCCCCTCCGCCACCTGGGCCTGCTTTTTTCAACCCGGAGTGGTGGGGCGGGACAGTGTCATCCGCCTGTCCTGCCGCCATCCGGGCCTACTATCTGCGACCCAGGGCAGCGGGCGTCCGTGTGAGACCCAACCCAGGGCAGCCGGGAGGAGCAGCAGCGATCCACTGGCCAGCCCGGGTGACCCATGTGCAACCCAAACCAGGGCGGCGCCCCAAACCCCGGATCAGCCCTGCTGTGTGTGCGACCCGGGGCGGCGTCCTAACCCCTGGATCAGCCCTGCCGTGTGCGCAACCCGGGGAGGCTTGGCAGGCACCGAGGGATCGGGCCTGCCATCTGCCACCCGGGGAGCAGGCCT